TCCCCAGTCACCAAAGTATCCAACTTTCCAGATTCCAGTCTCATTTTTCCGAAATCCATTCCAGCTATCAAAGCCAATCGAAACATTCTTAGCAACCCTTTTCAGGCCTCATGCCTCAAAACTTCCTTGGAATCCGTCATTGCACCTGATACTCAATCTTATCCTGGAGCAACCCGAGTGAAAATCCTTTCTGAAGCACTACCATTTATTCAAAAATTTCGAGGCAAGACTATTGTAGTGAAATATGGAGGAGCTGCGATGAAATCTGAGGCACTTCAGGCCTCTGTTATTGCTGATCTTGTCCTTCTTTCCTGTGTTGGTATGCGCATTGTCTTTGTCCATGGGGGTGGTCCTGAAATCAACCAATGGCTTGGTAAATTGGGTATCAAACCCAACTTTTTGAATGGCCTTCGTGTCACTGATGCCTCAACCATGGAGATTGTATCAATGGTCTTGGTGGGTAAAGTCAACAAACATTTGGTTTCCTTGATTAACAAGGCTGGGGCAACTGCAGTGGGGTTATCAGGAATTGATGGCCACCTTTTAACTGCACGTCCTTCCCCCAACTCTGAACAACTTGGTTTTGTTGGTGACATTGCTAGTGTGGACCCTAGTGTACTGCGTCCTCTCATTGACAATTACCATATCCCAGTGATTGCGTCTGTTGCAGCTGATAAGAGGGGTCAATCCTACAATATTAATGCAGACACAGCAGCAGGTGAGTTGGCAGCCGCTCTTGGAGCTGAAAAGCTACTCTTGTTGACAGATGTGGCTGGAATTCTGGAAGACCGTAATGATCCTGGGAGTTTGGTGAAGCAGATTGACATAAAAGGAGTGAAGAAGATGACAGATGATGGCAAGATTGCCGGTGGGATGATCCCCAAGGTGAATTGTTGTGTGAGGTCTTTGGCTCAAGGGGTGAAGACTGCAAGTATTATCGATGGAAGGCTGCAACATTCCTTACTTCTTGAGATTCTCACTGATGAAGGTGCTGGAACAATGATCACTGGCTAGATAAAAACTATTGTGAGTTGATCAACTATTTTATTAAGTTTCAAATGGTTTAGCAAGATAAGCTTTCTCAAAGCTCTAGAACCTTAATGGTTCTCTCTTATCAATATGTTGTCACTCTGCTACAAAATTTTGGTAGACAGACTGAATTCTGTTGTATTCTGTATGATAATGGTCCCATCCTAATGGTTTTTCTTGTATGAATAAAGATCAAGTGGGTATTACTAGCACAGTCACTTTGTGAAAATTTTCCAATTCCTGATAAATGTGAAAACTGATGTTTGAATGTATATACTCTTCCTGAAGGCATTATTTTCTTCAACATTCCACTCAGATAGGACTTTCAATGGAACTGCAGAACTAGACATGCTTAGGATTGATGGTGAACTTTGCCCTCTTGGAGCATATTTACTAATCCTTTTCTCTCTTCAGCTTTGGATGACTTAATTCTTCCTGGTGTGTACAATGATACAGGCCAAACTACTTTAGAAAGTTTGGAATATCTAACTAGTTGTGGATTGTTAGAAATGAAGATATCCGGGACTAGGTAGGAGTGACTTCAATGGAGGACAAAATGCGAGAGGCAAGATTGAAATAGTTTGGGCATGTGAAGAGGAGATGCCTGGAGGTGTGAGAGGTTGGCTATGGATGGTTATGAGGGAGAAGTAGACTGAATAAGTATTAGGGAGAGATGATTATACATGATATGACACAATTTCAACTTTTTGTTTAACTTTCTTAAAAACACAATATCTTTGTCTTCTTACGAGTAATTCTCATGTCTATGTTTATCCGAATACATGAATCGAAATATCTAGCTGATCTAATAGCTTATATAGCGTTACACCCGCCCTTACAGATCCCTCCGCTTGTGGTTTGTAACAAGTTGTTTCGTAAATGAGTCGAGGTGCACCCAAACTGGCATATGAGCACCCAAGCTGTAACAAGCTATCTTATTTAGTACTCCTCCGTCCCAATTTATATGACTTCCTTTCTTTTTTAGTCAGTTTCAAAAAAAGTTACACATTTTTATATTAACAAGTTAATATTTATTTTACCTTTATTGAAATGATTTGTAGTCACACAAATTTTTATCATTTATTTTAAACCACAAATTTTAAAAGTCTTTTTTTCTGTTTCGAGTCAAACTATTTCACATAAAATGGGACGGAATGAGTACCTCTTTGAACCAAACAAGAAACAAATAGTTTTTCCTTCCCAAATCCCCTACTATATACTTTCTCCATCACGTATCTTGATCCATTCAACTTTCCCTTCTCCTTTTCACCGTCTTCCTTCCCCTATTTCACAACAAAGCATTAGGTGTAAGACACTAGAATGAAGATTAAACTAAATGGTTAAAATTCAACATTTAAATACTTTGATAAGAAGCTTTGATTCATTTTGTTTTCACACTAATACCATTTGTTTATCTTTCTTTTCCTCTATTTTTTTTTCCAACTAACTAATCTGGATCGGGAAGTCCTATTTTAATAAAGGATAAACCAACTCCACACCAAAGGCACCTCCATATCCGAGACTGATTAAAAATGAAGGAATACTAATATACTTTTTTTTTACCTTGCAAATTTTACTTTGAAGCATATTTTTTCTTTTCATCAATACCAAATTCGATTTAAAAAAAAAAAAGCTTATTGATTTTAACCTAAGCTACTAAATTCAATCAAATATGCACTATTAGAAATAAAGATTTTTCTCACCATAAATTAATTAAAAAATTTCCACTATAGAACGTGATTTCTTAATCATGAAAAGTAAGAAAGACGTAGACTAAGTCAATGCATACAATTCCTATTGACCGAAAAGTAAGAAGACTTGAAAGGCTCCAAAAATTGCACAATTAATTTCTACCAAAATTTTTGTCCACATTAACTCCTGTCAATTTAAAGATATCCAACTGTAAAAATTTTAAAACTTTTTTTTTTTTAATCTTCCTTTTTACAAATTTATGCTACTAGATAGTAAATGTAGTGTTTTTATTAATTAGTCTCTAAGAATGTGCGTAGCACATTTGTTCAAGAAATCACATAAAATATTTAAGTTATAAATCACATATGAGTTGATTTTTCATATATAAATAGGAGATGGTTTATAAAGTAACTATATAGTAAGGATGATAATTTTTAAAAACTAACATATTATATGATGTGATTAAATATATGCTTCTCTGTACAAATAAAACATGTATCATTAAAAAACTATAATTTCTTTTATATAATTACGTATAAGAAGTTGTAGGGGAATGAAATTTATTTTATGTATAAGTAGTATAGAAATTTGAACAACATATGCCTTCTTATGATGTTTAGTGAATCATTATTAATTTAATGGAATATATCTATATATTATAGTATCACGATTAGTTCAGTCATTTAATAAAATCACTTTATAAGCAAATAAGAAGAACAATTTCAAATTCATGTTCCATATTACATAAAATTTGCTAAAAAAAAATTAATAAATGCTAAAACTTCTTTTTCCAGACATAATACCAAAAATAAGAAATTTTAAAATTTCACAGAGAAAGAAAATTTTAGTTATAAAATATAACAAAAATACAAAATACATCAGTAATATTTAATATCGTGTTTTTCCTTCTTTTTACTTCAACTTTTTCTTCAATTCTTCCTCTTCCGCATTGAGAATAGTTAGTTACAAATCACATATGAATTGATCTTCATTTCATATATAAATAAGAGATGGTTTATAAAGTAACTGTAGTAAGAATAATAATTTTTAAAAATGAACAAAACATTCACAAATTATCAATTATTCAATTACTACGGTCCTACCAATTTGTTGTAAAGAATAAAAATCTTAAATTTCTAAAAAAAAAATTACATGACAAACACGTAGATGAATGTCATCTCAAATAGAAAATTGCTCTTTCTTCTTTATATCGATTATCCAAGAAAGAATTGGTACATCGATCATCAAAGAGAATCAAGTTGGGATGAATACACTTAGTAGAAATATTAAAAAACATATGTATCTTTATATATGAAATTTGTATGTATTATTTTTTTTTAATGGCACCTTTTCAAATTATTTACTTCAATATTAAACAATAGTCTGTTTAGAAGGGAAAATGTAGTTATTTTAGAGGAAAAAATCCGGTTACATTATTTTATCAATCAAAACTTTTCAAATTCTTCCATTATGAGATTTATGATAATGATTAAAAGCAATATTAATGTACTCATTTATCAATAAAATAATAATTTAATTATTAAAGGACTTCAAATTCTCCTACTACGTAAATAAAATATTAGTATTTGATTAGATATTTAATTTAGTAGAGGGACAAATGATAATCCAACTTTTCACTTTGAAGCTTATCACTTTTAATAATATATGATGATGATATGATAATAAAATAAAATCCTTATTGTGAATAAGTCCAAGCAAAGGGGCTAGGCTAACGAAAATAAGAGGTAAAGAAAACAAAGTATTCTATGATCATCACAAAGTTTATAATACACTCTATAAGATGATATTACAAATGAGGATGCTTAAATAATGTAAAAAACATAAACATCAAGAAGAAGGTTGAGTTATCTTACCTCAAACATCCTTATTATATACCGTGGCGGAGCCAGAATTTTCAATAAGGCGGTGCAAAATCTAAAAAAATAGACACACGAAGTAGCCGAAGGAGATTTGACATCTACTATATATACCTAAAAAATTATTTTAACCATGTATAAATGATATAATTTTCCGCCGAAGATAAACTCGTAACTGTAAGGTGACTCCGCCCCTGATTATATATGTATGAATTAAAAAAGATAATTTATCCGTCTTTTAGACGAGTACCTCAAAATTGACAGGACTGAATAATTTCCAAGTCTCCTATGTAACGCGTCTTTTACTTAATTGCCATGAATTGACTTGTCCTACAGTAGCTCAAGTCTTTGGATCCTTCCAAGTTGTTATTATAAACTGAATTGTGTATCAATTTTGTGACAAATCAAAGTAAAAAAAAAAAGAGAAGAAAAGCTAAAATCTATGGCTGTTTTGCTATGGTTATTAATATTATCTGCATTTCATGCGGTAGCACTAGCACAACAAAGGCAGTTCAATATAACTCTTGGCTCTTCTCTAACACCTACTACCAATTCATCATGGTTTTCGCCGTCCAGGCGCTTTGCCTTTGGGTTTTATGAACAAAACAATGGCTATGCTGTTGGAATCTTAATTGCCGGTATGCCTAAGAAGACAGCAGTGTGGACAGCAAATAGGAACAGTCCTGTTGTCCCGAGCAATGCTGTCTTGCTCTTAACTAATGATGGAAGGCTCATTGTACAAGTAGGAGACCAAGAAATCACTGTCGTAAATCTCTCTGGTCAAGTCATTGCTTCAGCTTCCATGCTGGATACTGGCAACTTTGTGCTCTATAATTCTGATCACAGTATCATATGGCGAAGCTTTGACAATCCAACAAACACCCTTTTACCAGGTCAGCATATATCAGCTGGACAAGAGCTGTTCTCGAGTGCCTCGGAAGCAGATGACTCATTAGGGATTTTCCGTCTCAAAATGCAAGATGATGGGAACCTCGTTCAGTACCCTGTCAATACACCAGATAGTGCCCCATATTCTTACTACTCAACAGGCACTAATGGAGTAGGGAATAATGTTACACTGAATCTTGATGATGACGGCCTCCTCTACTTGCTCAATTCCACTAATAGTCTAAGAAATCTAACCAGAGGAGGCTACCCTAGAGAAAGGACCATTATCTATATGCTGAAAATTGATGCTGATGGTATACTTAGAGTTTATTCACATTCTCTGAACCAACAGAACAGCTCCGTGATATGGTCATCAACAGATGATAGGTGTAATCCAAAAGGCCTTTGTGGGCTTAATGGTTTTTGCACCAATATAGATGATCAAGCTAAATGTTTGTGTCTTCCGGGATTTGATTTTGTAATGCCAGGAAATTGGAGCGCAGGCTGTGTAAGGAATTTCACCGCAGAAACCTGTCTGTTAAAGGAGAGCACTTCCAAATACTATGCCATGAGAACAGTTGAAAACACAGGATGGGAAGATAGCACTTATGTTGTTTTGGCCGGATCGACCAAGGAAGATTGTGAACAAGCCTGTCTACAGGATTGTAACTGTGAGGCTGCTCTGTTCAAAGACAGAGAGTGTAGAAAGCAAAGGCTGCCTCTGAGGTATGGAAGGAGAGACTTGGGTAATTCTAATTTAGTATTGGTCAAGGTGGGCACTAATTTCATACCCAACGAAGGGGTACCTTATCAGACGATTGAAGAAACAAAAGGCAAAAAGCTAAGGATAGACATCCTAATTGCCGGCATTACATTGGCTGTTTTTGCTTTGTTGGTGTTAGGCATCTCCGGATTCCTCATTCACAGAAATCATGTCTGGACTTACAGAAAAATCCAGGAGAGTAGAAGTGTTCAGTTATGTGAGGATGTTGCTCCACGAGCATTTTCCTATGCAGAACTAGAGCAGGCAACCAGTGGTTTCAAAGAAGCGTTAGGGAGGGGAGCATTTGGAACAGTATTTAAAGGAATTTTGGCAGAAGACCAGAAAGTGATAGCTGTTAAGAGACTAGACAAAGAATTAGTAGAAGGGGAAACAGAGTTCCAAACTGAAATAAAAATCATTGGAAGGACACATCACCGAAATCTCGTCCGCCTCCTTGGTTATTGCCTGGAGGGATCAATAAGGCTTCTGGTGTATGAGTACATGACCAATGGGTCACTTGCGGACATACTTTTTACAACAGAAAAACAGCCCACGTGGGAGGAAAGCTGTGGCATCGCTCGAGATATTGCAAGGGGTCTCCTATATTTGCATGACGAGTGTGACACACAAATCATCCATTGTGATATAAAGCCTCAGAACATACTCATGGATGATCAATACAGTGCAAAAATATCTGACTTTGGAATGGCCAAGCTCTTAAAGAAAGACCAAACAAGAACCTACACAGGGATAAGAGGGACCAGAGGCTATGTTGCACCAGAATGGCACCGGAAACTACCAGTGACAGTGAAAGCAGACGTTTACAGTTTTGGTGTCGTCCTATTGGAATTGATCTGTAGGCGGAAGTGTGTTGATATGAGCCTTGATGAAAATGAGTCAATTCTTGAATACTGGGTCTACGATTGCTTTGGTGCAGGAGAGCTAGATAAACTAGTCGGGGACGAGGAGGTTGATAGAAGACAATTCGAGAGAATGGTGAAAATAAGCATCTGGTGCATTCAAGACGAACCATCACTTCGCCCTTCAATGAAGAAAGTTCTACTGATGCTGGAAGGGACAGTAGAAATTCCAGTGCCTCCTAGTCCTACTTCTTTTTTAAGTGCCATATAGTTTTGAACTTCTTCACTTTATGGTTTTTGTACTTCAAGTTTCAAGTATTCCAACTTCCCCATAGAGAGCAGAGTACTTTATCATCCATACTTGAGCTAAATAAAATATAGTTCTATCAAATTTCTACATCATTCTCTGCCTCTTGTAGCCACCAGTTAACAGAACTGCATGGATTTATCTTCTGCTGTAGTGAACGAAGGCTTATTCCCATTTTGAGTGTTGTCCATATTAGCACTCCTCTTCAAATTTACATGTAGTACAATGAAACTATATTTTGTAAATACTAATTTAGGAGACTTACGGGTTTCTCCATAGTGGAAGCAAATCTGCAACAATCACAAGTCGTGTCACCTATAGTCGGGAGTCCTCACAAAGCAGATGAACTCCTTTGTCTATAGTCTAGATAACCTTCACAGATGGAGAGAGTGTTCTCTTTTGTCCATTCTTTAAACAAACAAAAAAACTGTTGGAAGCAATTTAGTGAACCGATTAAAATAAGGTGCTTAAGTCCACCTTTAAATAAAAGAAACATATTACAAAATAAATAAGACTGCGTAGATCAAAGGTAGAACTCATCACTATTAACGGAATTTTACCAAATCACCACCATAATACTGATTTTTTGCCAAAAGAACTATTGGGTTGTCAAACTGTCAAACATGCCTTCTTTTTTCCCTGTACCTGCATAGCAGGGTGTGTTTGTGAGTGCGTGTGTGTGTGTGTTGAGTTAACAATGTATCTGGAGGAGTGAGGATCACCAACACATTTATCAGCTAATATTTATTTATTTAGTTTGCAGCAAAAACAATAGAATATAACACATCGCGAGGTCTCTAACAGAGGTAAAACTATAACAAAAACACTAGAAGTCTTGAAATAAAACAAAGCAAACGTTGATACAGCCATCAAGAAATCAGCATTAGAACGCATGAAGTTCAGAAGTTTCCACCACGAAGCCTGAGGACAAGATGAAGAGTAGACTCTTTGTGGATATTGTAGTCTGCAAGGGTGCGGCCATCCTCAAGCTGCTTACCAGCAAAGATGAGCCTCTGTTGATCTGGTGGAATCCCTCGTTGTCCTGTATCTTTGCTTTCACATTGTCAATAGTATCAGAGCTCTCCACCTCCATTGTGATTGTCTTCCCAATCAGAGTCTTCACAAAGATCTGCATCCCTCCTCTCAAACGCAACACCAAATGGAGAGTTAACTCCTTCTGGATGTTATAGTCTGCAAGGTTCCTCCCATCCTCAAGTTATTTACCAGCAAAAATCAAATGCTACTGGTCAGGGGGGAATACCCTCCTCCTTGTCTTGAATCTTTGCTTTGACGTTGTCATTGGTATCTGAACTCTCAACCTCCAACGTAATTGTCATCCCAGTCTAAGTCTACACAAAAATTTGCATACCACCTGTAAGACGAAGAACAAGGTGCAGGGTTGATTCTTTCTGAATGTTGTAATCTGCCAAGGTCCTTCCATCTTCAAGTTGCTCTCCAGCAAAGATCAATCTCTGCTGGTTTGGAGGAATACCCTCCTTGTCTTGGATCTTTGCTTTAACATTGTTGATAGTATCTGAACTCTCAACCTCCAAAGTAATTGTCTTCCCTGTCAATGTCTTGACAAATATTTGCATGCCACCCCTCAGACAAAGAACAATATGTAACATCGACTCTTTCTGAATATTGTTGTCGGCCAGGGTCCTTCCATCCTCAAGTTGCTCACCGGAAAAGATCAGTCTCTGCTGGTCTGGAGGAATCCCTTCCTTATCCTGAATTTTCGCTTTCACATTGTCAATTTTATCTGAACTTTCAACTTCAAGGGTGATAGTCTTTCCAGTAAGTGTCTTGACAAATAACTGCATAGCACCACGAAGGGGGAGGGCAAGGTGAAGGAGTCCGTGGACTCCTTTTGAATGTAGAAGTCAGCAAGAGTTCTACCATCTTCAAGTTGTTTTCCGGCAAAGATCAGCCTCTGCTGGTCAGGGGGGATGCTTCCTTTTCTTGAATTTTAGCTTTAACATTATCAGTGGTGTCTGAGCTCTCGACCTCAAGATTATAGACTTTCCTGTCAGAGTTTTAACGAAGATTTGCATTCCACCACGGAGGTGGAGGACAAGATGGAGGGTGGACTCCTTTTGGATGTTGTAGTCAGCAAGTGTTCGGCCATCTTCAAGCTGTTTCCCAGCAAAGATCAGCCTCTGCTGATCAGGAGGAATGCCTTGTCTTGAATCTTAGCTTTGACATTATCAATGGTGTCAGAACTCTCAACCTCAAGAGTGATGGTCTTTCCAGTGAGCGTCTTAACAAAGATCTGCATCTGAAATATATTGAAGAACACTGTCAAACTAGCAGCTTTGAAAGTCCAAATAGAAAAGAAAAGAAAGGTTTTGCAAGTTCTCCTCCTACAGCAGCGAACTACCGACATAATATGAACTCTCATAGCTTGCACACGAATCCTAGAACTTGTTTAATTCGGAACCAGGTCATCCCAAGAAACAAATTGAAGCTAAAATCAAATATATCAAACCAAACGCAACTTAAGAGATTATAAGATAAGAAAATCCTAATTGATTAGAAACCATAGAAAAAGCAAAAGCAACATATCCAAAGTCAAGTAAATACACTATCAGAGAGCCACCAGAAGACGAGAACAACCAAATGAAGAAGATTAATAGATCTAACATCAACCGAATAAAAAAAAATATCATCTCATTTCAGAATTCTTTAATAAAAATTCAAAATCCAATGCACCAGCACATTTTTACAAACAAATCAATGAACCCCTAGAAGCATCCAAATCTACATAAAACAAACTATATTTTTCATTTAGAGTGATGCATGTGCAGAGAAACCCACAATTGGATACATCGCAAATCAAATCAAGTTCACAATCCAGAATAATCGGAAAGAATTACAAATTGCCCACACAAAAATAAAAAAAATTCAAAAAAAGATCACCCTACAGATCAATAAGAGTTGACAAACAAAAGAATTGAATCAAGAAAAAACTGATAGCTATGTAGCATAGCTGAGTACAGTCAATTAGTGCAAGCCATTTTTGATGTGCCCAAGTTACTCTCCTTGGCTTTCTCTGTTCCATATAGACTACCGTCTTTATCATTTGATCAGTTCATACACTTACGGAGATCTCTAATAGAGTTGAATTATTTGTCTGTAGACTTGATATAGCGTATTCCATCTTTCAAAATCCAGCATATCACTAAATACTTTCAAGCAGCAAGTGGAGTTGATCGTCTTCCCATACCTGAAGTCGAGAATTTGATATTATCTGATAATGTCTACTCATCAGATTTGTCATGTCCCACTTACTTTGATGACATTTTCTGGACTTGTTCGCCCAAGAGTTTAACAGTACGACAATGCGATAGAAGATATAGAAAGTTTCAAACTGTCATTGGAGACTACTTATCAAATGTACTTGGAAAGAGTATCTCATAAATGCGCAGATTGAGTACAAGAAAGAGATAGGAGACGATTGGGTGACTGTTGATAGGAAAATGTTGGAGGTTAACCCGGGTATTATTGAAGAGATACATACAATTCACCTAACTAGATGGTTTTGGAGACAAATGACACCGACACTAATTGTTCTGAAGAAATCCCCCCAGCTCGATATGATCAATTTGAAGAATTTGGAGAAAACCATTCATTTGTCCTTCAATTCTGATGGCCAAAGATGAAAGGCTTGAAGCAGGAGAGTGCAAGCAGTTTAGGAGTCAATGCTACTGAAGCTAGTTATTAGAAGGGTAAAAGTTAACTGAATCATCAGTGAAAAAAGAACTAGGATGTACAATTGTTATCAGGTTGTATATATGACAATTTACAGACATATGAAGCATACGGGATGATGATGATTTCTAATGAAACCTTTACATGAATTCGGAACTGATCGACTGGTGACTAGCCTAGAGTAAATCAGCAGGAAAAAAAGAGCTGACCCCACTAAGGTGATAACTGAAAAACAGAATCCACATTTGTACATTGATGATTAAACTGGTGGGCACTTCTGCTCAGTGGGATATCCGGATGTTTTTGACCTCTAACAGAACCTCTTATCTCCCCCTTCGTCTATCTTCAAAAAGTCGTGTCCACAAAACTCTTTAAAAGAGATCCGTTTCTCTGCAGATATAAGGTGATTTATCAAACTTTAATGAGGTAGGAAGACAATACAAATGATATTGTGTACAGAAATCTGCAAACCTGGATCGATAGACAATAGTCTTGAGCAAAAGTCAACACAACCCGGGTGCAACTGAGGAAGAATCGGCTCAAAGAAAGGAAGACGTAGAGATGCCTTGATATTCCGCAGTATCTATTTTAAAAAAAAATATAATTGAAGACGGTGAACTAACAAACAGAGGAAGGGCCTTTGCAATTTGCATTAAAGAAATGCTATTACCTGAACACTAGTTCTACCACGAAAGGGAGGGTAACCATTAAGTAGTTCAAAAAAAATTGCTCCGAGACTCCACATATCAACCTATTCAAGAGAATACATATCAGTTTGTCCAATCTGTGTAACATAGTTGTACAGTAAATAGTTCTTACCTTATCATCATACTTTTTAAATTCTAGAATTTCTGGAGCCATGTAAAAAGGGGACCCACAAACTGTTTCTGCAAGGTCATTCGGATTTAACATTCTGTTCCAAGAATAAAAAGATACAGAGATTGTTAATGATGCCAAGGCATTTGACATTCCCTGTTTAATAATTCATACTCCCTCTGTCCCAATTTATGTGACACATTTTGCTTTTCGAGAGTCAAACAGTTTAAGTTTGACCGAGAATTTGCTCATGGAATCTTCAAATTTTTTAAAATGAAATTTATATATTTGTAAACTACATTAAAAGTACTATAAGTCCCAATAATTGATAATTGAAAATATTTAAAAGATATATGAAAAAATTACGGTCAAAGATAAACTTGTCTGAATCTCGAAATTCGAAATGTGTCACATAAATTAGGACAGAGGGAGTATCATTTTTCTTTACCTTTGTTTTTTTTTTTTTTTTTGAAAAGGTAACTTGTATCATTTTTTTTTCTTTACCTTGAGAGACCAAAATCAGCAATCTTAAGAATTGGGTCAGTCTCCATCGTAGATAAAAGAATGTTCTGAACCATAAATGACCTAAATTAGAACATTATTAAAGGCAAAAAAAGAAGAAGATAAACATCATGTATTTTGAGCATAAGTATTCAAAGATAAGCAAAATTCAACAAGAAAAAGAAGAGAATAATGATGAAAAGAAGAAACTTTTTTATAAAGCAGCGTCAAATAAAAACTTGCCAAACCAAAAACAAAAAGAGTACCATTTTTTTTTTTATTATGTAGCCCACTTGTAGATTATTATGCTGGTGTACTAAATTTTTGTAGGTTGTGTGTTAGGAGACTCTTTACTCACTTCTTCTCATAGATATCTATTGCTATTTTTTCTTCTCTTTTGGACACAATTTCTCCCACTTTATGCACTTTCATGCTTCCTCATTCCCTTCTTCACCATATCTCAAGAATTAGGCCTACTTTTATTTCTCAAACTTCCTTTCCCCTTTTCAAAAACCTTTTCCTAAGTTGAGTTTTTTTTTGTTCTAAATTCCAAAACTGAAGTACACCTAGCATTTGTATCATACACATTCAACTCCTCAGCCAACGAAAGGGATTGGGATATCAGCTCAAGACAATAATAGGAGCATGAAATGTTAGTTGGAGAAAACAGCATTTTAGACAATTGATTTATGCAAAATGAAGGGGAAAAAAAGAAACTAAACCTAGAGATTTCAACAACCTAAACGAAGCTTGGTTCATTTGGAAAAATTGTTGATGCACCAGGTTTTACCCACCTTCACATGCAACTAAGCAATACGAAACTGCATAATGATATAGTGCAATAGCAAATTAAATCAAAGATGTATTATAGCTTGGGAGAAAAATAGTGAGTATACTTCTATTTCAAGGGGTCGTTTGGTAGGATGTATTATAGAAAATAATACATGTATTAGCCATGATATTATTTAATCCTTTGTTTGGTAAGATTTTTAGTATTATAGGGTGTATAACTAATACATAGCAAATCATGGTATAAGTCATACAAAGGTTATTAATACATGAAGAAGAATGGTTAAAGACAAAAATTGTCCTTAATACACCAAATCAAACAGTGGATAAGAAATAATCCCAGCACTACTAACACATCTATTCAATACTATTCTTGTACACTCTACCAAACGACCCCTTAAAGTTTTAGTAGTTTAAAGTTTGTTTATTTTATGCATGTTCACAAGTATTACCCATGTTTCATTAGCAACAGTCCCTGGATTTTGTTGCATACGACCAAACCTATAAAGGCCTCTGCTGGAAGAAGTTAAACATACTTTATAGATCTAGAATGTGTGTATTGTATTCAATTTAACATCATAAGAAAAAAAAAAACTTATACCTCTGGCTTCAAGTCACGGTGGAGGATATGGTGCATGCTCAGTACCTCTAGGCCAGCTCCTACTATATCGCAACCAGAATGGCATCAATTGTACAAGAATTGAGCAAGGACAACATGATAAGAAAAGAAATAGTGACGAAGAGCTCTAAACAAAAAGTTACCAATCTGTTTCATAAATTTTCTAGCTACGCATTCTTGAACTCTGCCATGATCCCGAATATAAGCAGCCAGATCCCCTCCAGCACAAAACTCCAAGACAAGGAAAATAGAGTTTTCAGCCTAAGGGATAAAGCAGTTTTTTCAAATTAAGAAATCATACAATGATTATATTTTTGCACTAAATCTTCTTCCTAATGAATCAACCTTTGCAAGTCAAACATAAACAAGCCATGCACTGATGCATGTCAACAAGAACTTCAAAACCACACCTCCAAAACCCAGAGAATAAATTTTATAGGGTCACAACTTTTGCAGTATCTAGTGCATAAACTATGAAGTACTAAATTGCCGTCCAACCAAAAGCTACGATAATATATTTTACTGCTTAATCACATGCTCGGAGTAGAATATCATACACAATCGAAAGTAGGAAAGATTAAAGTCTTTCCTCCTGGTAAATTTTGCTTAGATATTATGCACCCAAATAACTTTTCTACTTTCCTACTAGCACCTTCAAGTCATGGGTGACTTTCAGAAACCTTATCTTTTTTATAAAAAAAAACTCAAAAGAGAAGTGGAGTGATACCACCACTTTTAGACTGGGTTTATCTCTTTTTTTTTCCACAAAATATTAGCCAACCACTATTGCTCATTATAAGATTGTAAAGATACATAATTCGTTTATCTTTTCTTTGAAAAGTAGAAGGAAAAACGAAAGGAAGAAAATAAACATAATTCCGACAAATTAAGCCAATGAGTTTGCAGGAATCTCTAGTGAATTTTCTTGCTTCTTAGCAGTTAACCCTTGCTCCCCAGTATCAATATTTGATCTTACATGCTCAATTCGTCAGAATTATAAAGTGCAACAATTGTTCAATAGAGCATCAGGATATGTGAGCCATTTGTATAACGGTAAGGATATTTATGAGCTATTTCCATAACGATGGGTATATCAGCTCTAAATAGCAAAGTTGAGGGGTATATCAGGCCATTTTCCCTATTTTGTATAATGTTGGCCTGATGAAATTTAAATGAGGTTATTCTTAAGGCCTGTTTGGCCAAGCGATATGAAATCATGATATAAAATCATAATATGAAATCATGAGATGAAGTTGAAGTTTTGTTTGAACATGCGATGTGAACTCTTTCTCATAAACATAAGAATCTCATAAGTTGCAAAACTATTAATATAGCCCCAATTATTTATTCAATCTTACCAAATAAACAAAAAATTATAAAATCGCATAATAAATTATTACAAAGCTATTTGTTCTCCACTTAAGTTAAGAAAAAAGTTTTGTAGCACTGTAAAAAGTAGTAAAAGTCTATTTCATCTAACTCTTCCTATTCTAACTACGATTATTTTGTTGAGAAGGTCATCTTCATTTGGCTTCTTCTGTCCTCTGAAGAGAGGTGATTATGTGTACATGTATATGGTTCAATTATAAGAAAAAACTTACTTCCACCGTCTCAGAATAAATGGCGGAGTACGAGTAACAGTATCAAGGCACTACCTTCCATTTTGGACTCGAACATGAGTTCCCAAACTCTTTCAAATAATAATCTATGTTTAAGAAAGTACACTCTCTATGATTCAGAAAATACAATAATCTTTGGTCTGAGTAATGATAAAGTGGCTAGTATATGTTATGATTGTCAATTGTGAAATAAATGTTGAAGTTGTTAGCAGCTAATAAAAATATTTTTCAATTAATGGCACTTTTGGCAATTACACATTTTCAGTGCATTAATTTTGTGCTAAAATCAAACATATTAAAAGTAGTGCTTATCAAACATACATCACCAATTTTGTCCTTTTTCATATTAAATTGCTTTGAACTTTTTCATATGTAGCCGAAAGAGAAATTTTTTTATTATGAAAAACCAAAAAAAAATATTACTCCCTCCATTCTAATTTATATACACCAAATCAATTTCTATTATATCATTTATATTCGTCAAATTAAAAGTAATAATAAATTTTATGTTGGTGAGAATAACGAATTTTGAAAAGTAATGATATGATTATAAATATTATTTACATATGAAATAAATAGTTAGTAGATATAAATGTGGGGTTGTTTTAACAAAATATAATCTTGTGGATCAATTTTTGTATTTGAAAAATCCTAAATCATGATATGGAATTCCCAAATCATAATTTTTGGAGAAGGGATTTCATCTCATGATACCAGCGTGAAATTGCATGTCCAAATGCTATTTCATCTTATGATTTCATATCGTGATATGATATCGCATGGCCAAATGCCTACTTAATTTATCCTACCTAGAGTCCCAGACTGTTGGCTGGGACAACTTTCATCCTCCATTTGTTAATGGAAAAATATAAGCTCCACAATGAAGAGGAAAAAGTAGGTTACCGTTGCTCCAACAGAATCCAGTAGTGCAAAAGGGTTAACATTTGCTAAACGAACTTGTATTTCTTGTGCAAAGAAAGAAAACAATGCTGTATAGATAGCAAGACAAACTTCCAAAATGACTGTGGGTGGTTACACGGTATAAACAGCTTGTACATACTATTGACACTATTTGGTATTTACAAATGAAATATTTTTGACTTGTCAAAGAAAAACATTGTGAAAAGATGGGTTCATACAACTCTCAAGTTTCTTTAGGCAAGAGAAAGACCAATAATCAAGACTATTTTAATATAACAAAAGGAATGCAAAAATTTCCCCAAGACAAAAGGATCACCTAAGATTTTAAGAATTTGATTTGAAGAAAATCTAGTTCCTTTTTTAAGACACCAGTTACTACATAAAACTACACAATCTCCTAATTAGTGAAACTTTGCAAGATCTGAACTCAAGTAGCTACTGGATTTAATTTAAAACAAGGCAACCTTCAAGAAGGACAGCTACATAGCTAAAAGAAATAAGCATAGCAAGGACTCTCGGTACTGTAACATATGTACCTTCATACTGAAATGCGAGAGCAATAGCCTACACATAAAGAGAACAGTCTAAACATGAGAAACAAACACTTTGAATTATTAATCTGCTAATTCAACTCTCTGCACAGAAACTTCAAGCCAAACATGTACAGAGAAATCAGGCACACACACTACCAATAACCCAAAGATAGAATGAAAACCTACATATAACTGGCACTTTGGCACTGGCATGCCAGCTAGTCTATTTCTACTTGCATTCGATTAGAGAATGCACTTGTCCATTATGGGCTGCGTACGAGTTTTCGAAGGAGTTTATAATGTTCTGGGCTACTCCACCTATTGCCTTAAGGTTCTGTGTTAGATGCTCATAATCTTTTCAAATGGTAGCAAAGCCAAACTTTGGTAAGTTTATTTGGCACAACTTCTTCTCTCTACCTACCATAATGATCTAGGCTTCCTCAACTCAGCACATCGAGTCTCTCTGTGCATCGCTCCCAATTCAGCATATCGAGCCACAAACTTCACTTCAGGCCCACTCCTTAGCCCGGAGAGTCTACTCTCCTCTCAGTTTCAAGCCCACTCCTCAGCCTGTTGAGCTTGATCACTTCTCTCTTTCAAGCAGGTCCACTCCAATCTTCTCCAAGAAAAGAGACAATAAAAAAAAATAAAAATCAATCCACGCATAAAACCCAAGAACATGTGCTTTTCTCTCGACTCATCCCACCGAGCCTCTCTGTGTTTCTTCTCTCTCAATTCAGCCCATTGAGCCGCAAACTTTTCTCCAAGCTTCTCAGATCCAAGACCACTCTTTGGCTTGTTGATCTTGATCTCTCTCTAGTAGGTCCAATCTTCAAACTTCTCCAAAAAACAAAAGATGAAAATATGTAATCCCCGTGTAGGCCCAAGCACCAGGTTTTACTCATTAATTGTGTAAGGGTTTCCAAAGGCGTTTATAATGTCCTGGACTACTCCGCCCATTGCCTATTTGTGTTGGATACTTGAATTCTTTTCACAACAACATCTAAAGTTTGAACAAGATGCATCATGCATTTGCCAATCTGTTCGGTTTTGGGAATTTCTGAACATATTCTGATTATTTTTTTTGTTTCATTTTTGATAAGCTGCAGAGACATTGATAATTTTGATAAGAAGCTTCTAGATAACTGATCAAAGTCACCTTTTACTAAATCAAAGTTGGTGATTTCGCTCGTGACTAGTTTATCCACTAACTACACTCTGGTTCCATTTAACAAACCACACACTTATTCCAATTACAGAACACTGATTTAACCTAAACAAATCACACATTTGGGACACGATGAGAATTGAAATATAAACCCCTAATGCAGTTAGTTTCCATTTCATCACACAAGAACTACGTATCCTTTGGGGAAAAAATTGCATAATTGCAGAAAAGGATAGACCTATAAACTTCTAAACCTTTGGACCATAGCTGACAAAAGAAAAGCACACAAAAAACACTAGGTGTTTGCTGCCCATATGTCCTAGCCTTGTGCAGTGGGAGGTAGCAAGTAGCCCGGACACCTAGGTAAAGCAATTGTATAATTTTGTTGATATTAAAGAGAGAGACACCACTAACCTGAAATACATCGAAAAGGCGAATGATATTTGGGTGTTCAACAGAAGATAAAAAGCTGAGTTCACAGTCCAAGCAATTCTTGAGTTGGCGAGTGAGCTTGAGGAGGTCGATTTGCTTCAGCGCCACCACTTTTCCGGTGGTCCGGTGCTCGGCTTTCCATACCGTCGACGATGAGCCGCCACCGAGCTTACACGTCAGCGTGTATTCTCCGATCGTTGGATGATCAGCATCCATTTGTATATTCTCTATGCGCTTTTTCGTTGGGAAATAATATTAAGAGCCAATATTTCGTCGAAGCTCCTCGTCAGTTCTTTTATGGACATTTTCATCCATTTTATTTCATGTGACATAGTTTGATATATATATATATTAGATATGGGATCCCGTGTCAGCACGGGGCTCAATATATGTTACTGTTTCTGTTTTAATTTATGTGGTACATATGAACTTTGAAGTTAATCAATTTTTTAGTATGTTTTTATATATTTTAAGTTGCTAATTATTTTTATTTAGAATATGTTTTACGTAAATATATTATAAATCACAATAAATAACAAGTTAATTTTAAAAAAAACTTACAAAAAATTCATTGACTTTGGAAATTTCATTTGTATCACATAAATCAGGACAAAGCGAGTAATATATGAAAATGACATAAAACGTACTATAACTCACAATCATTAGCAACTTAAAATATCTATATATCTATATTTCTCCCAATTTATGTGGTATAGATGAAATTTTGAAAGTTAACAAAAACTTTTTATATGTTTTCAAATATTTTAAGCTATTAATTATTATGATTTATAATACTTTTTCAATAAAAAATTTATTTATATAAAGTATAAAAGAAAAAAAAATTAAAAAGGAAACATAAATGTTAGCAGGAGTCCAATCTATGTTAATTTCTATGTTTTAATTATTGTAATACCAATTGAATTTGGAAAGCCAACTAAATTTTTTTAAAGGATTTTTTTTATAAATTTTAAGTTGTTAATTATTATAATTTATAATACTTTTATTAATTTTAAACCAATATATGTTTTTCTCTGTCTCAATTACATGAGACATATGGAATTTGGAGAGTCAATTAAAATTTTAAAATATGTTAAGTTGTTAATTATTATACCTTATAGTACTATTACGTGATTTTCAAATAAAATATGTAATTTTTTTATTTCAATTTATATGTCATTGATATAATTACATATATTAAGTAATGAAGAATTAATGTCTAAATTATGTGACACCTATGAATTTTGGAGTGTAAATCAAATTAGTTATATGATTTTAAAAAAATAAAGTGGTTAATTATTACAATTTATAATACTTTTTATATATTTTTTAAATGATATATATATATATATATATATATATATTTATGATATTGATATTAGTATTATAATAAATTAAATTTTATTATTTTTAAATTTATGATCTCAATTGTCAGCCTATGCCACATTATAAAATGTTCTAAAATAGATATCAGATTTACAAAAATGTCGATGCCAGCTAAGTAATAAAATAACATCTAAGAGCATGAACCTATATATGTATATATAAAGCTGAATATAGACAATCTGATGTGGCATCTCTCTATGACCAGTATTTTTATTCATCTTTTTTCTCCTTGTTTTGACATTTTATCTTTGTTTTGTATTTCTTATTTGTATTTTTTTTAAAAAAGTATTTATATCATACCCGATTAATTATGTCATTTATAACATCCAATACACTAATATAAATTTAAGTAAATGAAAATGGAAGATGAAAAGATAAAAACTATTCATTTTTCATAACTGTTTATAATTATTTAGCTTATAAAAAAAATAGTTGACCATTTGTAGCAAATAAGAACAAATTTCTTCACTTTGGCTCTTCTTCTTCTGACGATGATGATCAATATATGGTATCAACTTCTGTCGCTAAGATGTCCATCAAATTTCTCGGTCATGTGACTTTTTTAACAAAAGAGAAAGAGAGAATATCTCATGATTCTTGTGAAGACATTGATGTAAAGAAAGAGATTATGTAACAAAAAGTTCTTTTCAAAATAAAAGACTTTTTGAAAAAATGTTTATTCCTCCTACAATGAGAGAAAATTCATTGTGGTTGACAAATTTATAAGAAGGATGATTAGTGTTTCAAAGGGTAAGAAAAATTATTTGGAGAAAAAATCATTCTATTTATGGAATTCGTATCAAATTAGGAGGAGAACAAGCAAAAATTTATTTTGTGATTTGAAAAGAGAGAAAATTAGATATTATTTCTTTCAACCTCATTATTCTTCTAATTTCTTTCTTCTTTTATTTTGTCTTGATTTTTTGTATCTTTAAAGTTTTTTTTTCTTATTTATCTTTAATTAAAGTTTATATATATTTTCTTAAAAAAGTATTTAAAAAGATGATCATATTTAGTTCCTTTCCTCATCAATGCTATTAATCTCATAATTAGTGTTATTTATATTATTTTCTTAATTACTTTTTTTTCTTTCATTTAATTATTCATTTGAAGAAATTAGTTATTATAACTTTATAAGAATTACACATGTATTTTTACATAATTGATTTGTTATTTTAAAATTTTTTGGATCATTCTTCATCTTAAAGTTTCTATCTATATGTAATAATAAAGCTAAAATAGAAAATGTGGGGTGACACCTTCTTAGCAATAGATACTTATTTATTCTTATCAATGTTTCTGACATTTTTTGTTATTTTTTCCTTAAAATAATTGTTGCCTCGATTTTTAGTTTTAGTTTTATTTTTTTAGCATTTTCTAATTTTAAAAGACTGAAAAATATATATTGAAAATTTACAAAAAAATAAAAAATGATTTATTTAACTCCTATCATCATCAATATTATTATTAATTTGTTTTACTTCTTTTCTTAATCTTCATTTCATCATTAATTTAATTTATATCATTTTCTTAGATATATATATATATATATATTTGGGATTATTATTTATTGAATTTTTTTAAATTTTGAATTCTTTTGTCATACTAAATACAACATGTTTTATTATAATTACATTTAATATATTAATGAATATGTTGTACGAATGAAAATAAAATTATCATTTCACAAAAACAAAGGTTAAAATATAATTTATTATGATTAAGGAAAGATAAAATTATTATTCCAATATCCATAACCATATATAATACATTAAAAATTAATTGAAAAGCTGTAAATGGAAAAGGAATCACCATTTAAGAAATCATTATTTTTAAATTTTTGAATCATTTCTTCTTCTAAAAGTTTCTATCCATATGTAACAATAAAGTTAAAATAGAAAATGTAGTGACACCATTCTTAGTAATAGATACTTATTTATTTTTATCAATTTTTTCTGACAATTTTGGTTATATTTTTCTTTAAAATAATTATTGCCTCGATTTTTATTTTATTTTTAATTTTAAAAGATTGGAAATTTTATGTTAAAAATTTAAATAATAGAAAAAATGATTTATTTAACTTTTATCATCATCAATACTACTAATTTATTTGACGTTTTTTCTTAATCTTCATCTGATCACTAATGTTATTTATAGAATTTTCTTAAATCACTTATTTTTTCTTTTTTAACTCTTTTTTTTATATATATAAAGTTGGATATGTAAATGATGATGTGACATTTCGTAGAAGTTAAGATTACTATTTATCTAATTTCTCCAATTTTTGAGTTCTTTTGTCATACTAAATACAATATGTTTTATTATAATTACATTCAATATAGTAAACAATATGTTCTAGGAATTAAAACAAAATTATCATTTCAGAAAAATAAATATTAAATTATAATTTTATTATGATTAAGGAAAGATAAAAATATTATTTCAATATCCCATAACCACATTCAATACATTAGAAATTAATTGGATATAATTGTAAATGAAAAATGAATCACCATTTAAGAAAAATAAATGTTTCCAATACCATAATAATTAAGGAGAGAGTAAGATATTATTTTAATATCCTAATTCGGAACTTTTAATCTACTACTAAATTAAAAAGAAAATGCATTTAATAACATTAAAAAGTTATTAGTTTAATATTTTTTCTCATTGCACTAATTCAATTCAATCAAACTTAATTTTAAAGATAAAATAACAGCTTTATTTTAATTGTTATCAATATATTTTAAAAAATTATCGTGAAAAGGCTTTTCTTGCACCTTATTTTAATTTTCATATACTATTATTATTTTTTCTGTCATTTTTCAATGATTTTTTATTTCGATTTAAAATTTAATGTTTATTCTTAAAACTCTGATGGTACAATTAAGGTGGAGTAGAATATAATAAATGATGATTCTTCTACTAAATATGAAGATATAATGAAATTGAAAGGTTGAAGTTTTTTTTTTTAAATGGATAAGAAATTCTATTAAGGTATCATTACGTCATCATTCAATATATTTTTAATATAAATTTCATTTGCTGATGCATTTGTTTAGTACTCCCTCTGTCCCTAATTACTTGTTCACTTTTCCTTTTATAGTTGTCTCTAATTACTTGTCCATTTTGACAAATCAAGAAAGAACATTTTTTTTACCTATTATACCCTCAATTAAATGGCTAATTACTTTGAAAATTGCAGAACTTTTCATCTACTTCATAATTAATAGGGGTAAAATGATAAACTCACTATGTCATTAATTGATTTCTTAATAAATGTGTCAATTTAAAAGTGGACAAGTAATTAGGGACATAGGGAGTATTACAGTGTTATTTGACATTATGAGATATTTCTTAGACATTTAAGGAGAATGGTACACTGGATTATATATTATATATTAAAGGATCAACTTCAGAATTTGTTATTAGCAAATATATTTTAACTTATTTGATAAAAAATATATTCTTCCTCATTTAATAGATGTAAAATTTGTGAAGCTTTATTTTTTTTCACAATCTTCATATTATTAAAACAAATAATAATATTACGATTAAACAACAGAGTAAATATAAAATTAATCAAAAATATTTAATTTTAATGATCGTGCGAAGTGCGGCCAAGTTCTCTAATTTAAAACAAAAAAGTCAAATTTAAATGGGTCTACTATAGAATTCCTAGAAATCCAATTTCAAAAATTATGTTAAAAATGGAAACTAAAAAGTGAAATAAATTTAATTGAGAGTTATCCTTCGTCTGTCCCATTTTATGTGACACTTTTTATTTCTCAAGAATCAAATAGTTTAAGTTTGACCATAAATTTGCGTATGATATCTTCAATTTTTTAAAAATGAAATTTATATATTTGTAAACTACGTAAAAATCAAAACATTATAATTCATAATAATTAATAATTCAAAATATTTTAAAGAACTATG